TCTTGAGAACTTGGAGTGAGACTGGTCTTCAGAGGCAGAAGTCTGAGCACGCCTCCCCCGTCGCTGCCCCTGGACTCAAAGCAGCTGCTGTCCTGAGGGCTGGGAGCTGGCTGCTGCAGGTGAACCTCAGCAAGCATGGACTTCGTTACTTCCTTGGTGTCAAAGCTTTCTTCAGGACTTCTATTTAGAAATTTACTGAGATATGACCAGAGCTTGCCACCTTCCGCGTGCTGCAGCACCAGGAACACCGACTCCTCCGAGACGATGTACTTGTGCAGACACACCATGTTGGGCACGCAGCAGGGGATGATGGTCTTTCTGTTCCTGCTGGATTCGCTGCTTTTCCTCAGACCTTTTAAGATGAATGTCTGCTCTGTCCTTGTGTCCATTACAAGTAAAACCTTGAACACCTTCTAGGAGTAAGTCAACTCCCTTCCTATAAAATTCAGAAGCAGCTTCGTAGTCGTCTTCCTCTTCCTTTTTCAAGGCCAGTTTTATTAATTTTCCTGCTTTCTCCAAATAATCTCTCTTGCCAAGTTTAGGTTTTAAACTGCCAGGAAAGAGGCTACGGCTTTCCCGTTCTTCTGTTTTGCTCGGTTCGCTGTCAGAAGCAACAGCCCCTGGTGCTGAAGACCCCGAAGAAAGACTGAGACCCAAAGTTCTAATGGGAGAATTTCGATTGGAAGCCATTCCATCATCTAACTCAGCAAGAGAATCCACATCAACAGTAAGGGATATCAGATCACTGTCACTGGAGAAGCCTTCTGCACTACACTCAGGAACAGGATCAGCGAGGGAGTCTGAGCAACCTTCAGGGGGGCCAATTAATTCAGAGCCATCATTGATTATCCCGCCCTTGAAAAACTCTTCAAGCTGTTTACTGTTGTAAAGAGCGGGAATGTTGGCAGAGAACTGCAGCAGGTCTTCGGCACACTGTCTTCTCTCTTCTATGAAGGTTTCATCAAATCGCCCAAACACTATTCCTTTAGCAAAGGGAGAAAACAGTTCTGAATGACGGAATAAGTGTTTGTGAATTTGCCATAGCTCTTTGTGCAGTTTCTTAAAATCACTGAACCTCTTCCATACGATTATCTCCTGGACATCCTCTGGGTTTTTCCGTGAAACAACCCGGGCGGTGACCTTATACACAGTGTAGCCCCTCGGGTGTCGCTGGGGCTCGGTGACAGTGTAGAAACGAGCCAGGTCGGCACTGCGTTCCCGGGGAGCTGTCATCCTCCCTCC